GGTGTCAAGTTCACCACGCGGGCTTTATGTAGACGACCAATAGCAAGCAGGTCAAGCGAGGTCACGTGAATTCTCTAACTTGCGGTTGCAGCGGCGGTTTGCACTGTCGGGTACACGGCGCACGTACAGCGCAGTACACGCGGTGTAACACGCGGTGTGCACGCACGTACACGTGGGTACACGCTGACGCGGGTGCACCAGCGGTAGCACAGCGCACGTACACATCTGCGTGTACGTGCGTGTACCCGCGTGTACGTGCGTGTACGTACGTGTACCCGCGTGTACGTGCGTGTACGTGCGTGTACCTGCGTGTACGTGCGTGTACGTGCGTGTACCCGCGTGCACGTGCGTGTACCCGCGTGTACGTGCGTGTACCCGCGTGTACACGCGTGTATCTGCGTGTACGTGCGTGTACCGCAGTGCAACCGCGCTGCAACCGCAAGTTAAGATCACATGACTCGCTTGACCTGCTGCTATTGGTCGGTTACATAGAGCCGGTGTGGAACTTGACACAGGCACACCGCACACGCTGTGGAATCTGCCACACGTGGAAGAAAATATCGAACACGTGTGATATTTTCCACAAGCAAGAAATCGCTGTGTTTGCACGCGCACACGCTGTGTCTTGTGCTGCGCCATCAGCCACGCGTGGCCGATGGCGCAGCACAAAACACACCGTGTGCGGCAGGCTTTAACCGCAGATCGAGCAAATCGGACCGCGCCAAACGTCACCCCCGCGACAATTTTTCCATTGCCGTCTTTCTGCCTCATCAACGGATGGATTGTTGCTTTTATGTGTTTAACTAATCGATATTTAATCAGCGCGCGCCTGCTGCGTTCGTCCGATGAAGCTTTGGATTCTGATTAAAAACTGTTTGATTTCGAGGTGTCCGCTCAAAAGGTCAGCGCGCGAAAAAAAGCGGGACATTGTTTATATCGCAGCCCTTCATTTAAGAATTTTGAAGTAAAAATGTCCTCCATGGTGAAGAGTCCTGTTTCCTTGAGTATCTAGACGGGCAGAGAGAAAGAGAGAGGGGGAGCGGGAATGGGGCATGCGTGCGCCACGTGCGTGCATGTGCGTGTGAGTGTACGTGTCTACACGCATGTGTATGTGAATGTGAGTGAAAGATATTATAGCCCAAGTCTTTCTATCGGATTTTATTATAGAATGTGGCTGTTAATTTTAATTTAGCATTGATCTGCTAACCCATTCCTAAGTTTCTTGGTCAGACATACATTTTTTCTATTAATTCTTATCAGGTTAAGCTTATCATTTCTATTAAAAATATTCATGTACAAACACTAAAATATAACGATAGTTATTCAAAAAAAAAGAAAAAAAGTAGACAAATATACAATTGAAAAAAGTACGAGTTGAGAAGTTGCTTTCAAGTAACGGGTCATGCAGTGCTGAGGCACGATGGTGAAAAACGTGTATACTCGCACTAATTGTCTATTTAGTGACAATTTCCAACGGCATGTAATATAGAATCGTATAGGCCATGCACTACGTACCCGGCACTGCAGTTGAAACAAAACAAGTAGCAGAGTATGGATGGGTGGATGTATGGAGTATAATGCTAGCCGCACACTATCCGACCTTAGGCTTACGTTTGGATCGGGAGGCTTAAGTTTGGCTCGGGAGGCTCAAGTTTAGCTCGGGAGGTCATTTTGGCCCGATTCGAATTTTGAATCGGAAGCGGAGCGGGTCGTATAGTGTGCGAAGGCTTACGACGCGACTCGGATAGTGTGCGTGGCCATCCGACCCGCTCGGCAAGCGCTGAAGAAAATTGACCAATCATAGAGCAGCGCCATGGGAACCGCATTCGGTAAAAATGGCGGGAAAACACTCCCGCCCCTTAGTACACGCTAAATCCGCATGAAACGCCACGAGAGTGCTATGGTTTGCGCCAAAGGTTTGCGCCAACTTTGAGTCGGACAGTGTGCGGGGGCCTCCCGGTCGATCGGGAGCGGATCGTATAGTGTGCGAGGGCTTAGTGCTGTGCACAGTGCAAAATCGTATAGTGTGCGGCTAGCATTAGATAGCTTGTGGACGCAAAAGCCCAGAAAAATTTGAATATCTAAACCTGCAATTTAAAAAGTCAAATTGAATTATATGATGGTCGCAGCTCGAAGAGGTTATAGTAGTAGTTGCTGGTGGCTGTTCAGATTTGAAGCTTACTTGAAGAGCGCGAAATCTAATAAAGCCACCGAGCAACAGCTTTCGCCGCGCGTGGCTGCATTCCTGTCTTTCTTTGACACTCATCCGCTTACCCTTCTACCTTTTCTCGTACCCTTCCTGCCCTACGCTTCCCCAGCCGCTCCTCAACGTCTGCGCATCTTTTCCTCTCACACTCTCATCTTCCGCCTGTGCCTTCATCTTCTCGTCCTTACCGACTCATATTTTTCACCCTCCCCTCTCGCTCCAGTGGCACGTAATAATCGTAAAAACGGTTTAAAACCAGCCTAAGGGCATGAATTCTTTAGCAACTCCCTATGAGAGATCGCTATGGTTTGACTCACTCAACCTTTTGGCACCACGTCGGGAAGCCTAAAGACTCTCGTTATGCAGGAAATTTACGGAATTACGGTAAAATCACATAAAAGCGTACAGAAAAGTTCGGTTGCATGCCTGTTTCCCGTAGTCGAGCGAGCAGAGCAGCGAGTCATTACATGGAAACACATCGGCACGGGATTACTGGTTGCATCCCAATTTAATGGCCTCTCTCTTCCGCTCTCTCCCTCTCTCTTCCGCGCGCGCTCTCTCTCTCTCTCTATATATATAT